AACTGGATTTCTAGGAGTTGGGACTTAATTTTCATTCTCTCATTGTCTGTGGAATCTCTCCTGGGCTTCAACACGTGATGACTTTATAGGTCTGCTGTGTTCAGCACCATGACATACCCTCCTGCTTCCAGCTCTGAGGGAGAGAGTGGCTTGGGATTAAGTTCTTTTTCAATTTTATTTTTTAATTTAGTAGGCCAGTGATCAGGAACCACGATGATAGTTTACTCTCATAAAAATTATGGCCTAGGAAGCCCTGTCGGGCAGTTCTACACTGTCCTGTAGTGTCGTCATGACTCAGAATTGACTCTGCGGCACACAACCGCAGGCCAGTGATACAGCTTTGGGGGTTGGGGAATGAGAGTTTTGGATTAGTGCTACGGGAAACGATTCTTATATAAAAGGAGTTACCCAGATGGTTTTCAGTCCACAGTTGTTGTTGTTATTGTTATGTGCTGTCGAGTCGGCCCCGACTCATAGCGACCCCTCCTTGGGTTTCCGAGGCAGTATCACTACGGAAGTAGGATTGCCCAACCTTCCACAGTAGCCTGGCCAAAACTAGTATCATTACTAAAAACGATAATACCGTTTCAAGTTCCTAGAAGGCGTGAACAGCCTACAAAGCATCTTGTTGCTTAGGGCTAGGACATGAGAGTTGTGTTCCCCAAACCTGACAGATTGTCTGGTCAGTTGTGTCCACTTCTCTCCCAGCTAGTTGGAGAAAATACCTGCAGCCTGTTGAGATCAAGACTTCTATGTGAGGGTGGAGAGTGGAGGGCAGGGTTTGTGCAGGGCAGCGGCAGGATAGCAGAAAGGACTGTTCACTTGGCCCTGCTTCTGGTGGATCCTCTAGCCTGTGTTTGATCTGCTGATGTCTGATACCGTCCCCTTCCTGGCTTCCCGGTGTCACAGTTCTCCAAGAGGCTCACTTTATTAGCTTCTTGCTCATTATGTGCACTCCTTCTTCCTAATTTGATGGGGAAACCAGTCTTTATAGCTTGGTGGGTACTTGTCAGGACTTCCAGGGGCCTGGGGCAGGGGAGGGCATGGTGGAGGCTACCAAGGTTTTGTTTTTTCCCAGCCCCAATTTGTATTGTGATTTGGGTGAAAGTTTACAGAGCAAATTCATTTTCCATACAGCAATTCATACACATTTTGTTTCATGACATTGACTGCAATTCCCCACAACGTAACAGCTCTCCTCCCACTGCCTCCCTATAGTTACTATCGCTTCCCTGTGTCTTCCCTCCCATGCACTCATAATCTATCTGCCTGTACAAACACTGCCCACAATTGATTGCTCCAAAGAGTGTGTCTACCTGATTTAAATGTTCCTCCCATGTGCCTATCTTATGTTTGGTTGGAAGCCACAGGAGTGAGTTCAGTTCCAGACCTCAAGGGTGACTAGGGGTCATAGTCTCAGGGGTCTCACTAAGAGGCTGCCAAGTTTTGGGGCTCCCAGAGATACCATTTCTTTGCCCTTGTCCACCCCCCCACCCCATCCCACCCTTCCAGACGTAAAGTTGAAGATTGGACAGCACCATTATGGCTTGGCTACATTATGGCTTAACACAACTTTTCTGAGCCATCAGGGGAGCTTAGTTTGGCACACATTTTCCCATGGAAACCAGAGTCCATACCGCTGCTTTCAGAAGGCATTTAATTTAGTTCACAGATTGTGAACTGGTTGTGTTTGTGATTTCGCTCACACAGGGTGAGCGAGGCTGAAACCTGCACAGCAGATTGAATTTCAGTCTATGCTGCTGCTGAAAGGGTGCAAGGAATCTGGCTTTAGCTTTCTGGGGAAGTAGGACTTGGTCTTTTGTGTGAATGCCTTGTGGAACTCAGTGGAACTAGCCTTTTGTGTCCCTCCTCCTCCTGGAGGGAGCACGTTACGTACAAACGTGTGTGTATATGGTGTGTGTAGCATGCATATATACAATCACTGTTCCCTGTCATTTGGCTTAAAAGTTGGAGCAACCTACAGCCTGATTCTTGAGGTTCTGAAAGTATTAGATGGCTGTGGGGCCAAAGCTTCCTGTTTATAGCTGGCCAAATGCTCGTATTTGTCCCTTGAAAGGAGCTTAACTGTGTGCATTAAGAAGATTTTTTGATCATGCTTTAAAATTCAGGTCGTGATAGTTTTTAGTGCTTTTCCTTTTGAGTGGACACGAAAAGCAAAATTGGTTCACCCCTGCCATGAGTCTGCTGCTGTACTTCACCGCTGGAGAATTCACGCGCCCGATGAAACCTGTTGGTTAGAGGTGAGGTATGAGTCTGAGGGTTTTGCAGCTTTCTGTTCCAAAATTAAGGATACCATGGACTAGTTTTAAGAAACATAGGCACTCCCAAGGCAATTTTTTTTTAACTATGTATGCATACATGCATGTAGGCACAGACACACACTCAAACACAATTGAGAGTTGGAAAAAAAAGGTTCTAATTCAGCCATGCCTCTGCTTTGTTCTGTGAATTCTCTGCTAACCTTTGTGCACTTCCTGTATACTTTTTTTTTCTCCTTGAATTTCATTTTCTGTTTGATGCTTAACAGCCACATAGTATCATAGTCAGAATGCTGTTAGTTTTTTTCCCCTCTCATTTTTGGCTACTCAGGTTACCTCTGTGTTTTAGTATTGTAAATGAGAAGTATTTGTCAGTATCCTGTTGTATTACTGTGTTTCCTAAAAATGTTTTCCTACAAGTGTTTTTTTAAAGAAAGAATTTTTTGTTTTTGTTCTTGAAATACTTATTCTGAGAAGTTCTTAACCAGTCATACTACCTTGTAAGAGTGCATCTTGTACCTCAGCTTGTCACACTTCAGTTGGAACTTTTAAAATATTTTTCTTTTCTTTCTTAGCTAGTTTAAATTTCAAAATACAGCACCTTTTGTATTTCTTTGGCTCCAAGGAAAGCTGAACCTTCTTCCACCGTGCCATTTCTGTGTGCGTGGTTTCTACCTGAGCGCGTTCCCGTACCAGGTGATGAAACTTCGTGCACTTGGTTTTGAGTGGACATGTGTTCACTTTGTGATTTCAAGGTGGCTTCTCTGCTAGTAAACTTGTTCATGTGCAGAAAGAGATTCCTACAGCAGGACTAGCTATTTTGAACTCTTCTTCTGTTGGAACAACCTGAAGAATCATTGTTTTAATAAGAGTAAGAATCTTCAGGCAGTTGTGCTACAGATTGTTTTAATTTTGGCTGTTTTTCATTCTAGAGAATTTGAAATTATCTCTATAATTCAGTCTGTCGGTTGTCTGTAATTTCTTTCATCACCTCATGGAAACTGTTAAAGGTTTTTAAAATTCCCATTTAAATTTTTTTTTTTAAAGATTATAAAAGGTTTAAAGACTTGATACTATTCCCTGATACTATCTACTTCCGTAGTGATACTGCCCGGAAACCCCAGGAGGGGTAGCTATGAGTCTGGTCCGACTCGACGGCACATAACAACAACATTTAAATATAGTTTGAGAGGAAGAAAAGTGCTCAGATAAATGAGTCCCCTCTAGCCCTGTGACTTATTTGAAGGCACAGCTTTTTTTGTGTGTGTGATTTGGGAGAAAGTTTATAGAACAAATTCATTTTCCATACAGTGGTTCACATACACTGTGTCTCATGACACTGACTGCAGTTTCCCACTTCCTGCCCATAGTTACCTCTTCCCCCTGTCCTTCCCTCCCAGCACTCCTGCCCCCCCCCCCAGCTGTCTCCCTGTGCATACACAGCCCTTCTATTCTCTCATGATTGATCTCGCCAAGGATTGTGTCTACCTAATGTAAATGTTCAGCTTATATGCCTGTCTGTTGTTTGGTTAGAAACCACAGGAGTGAGTTCAGTTCCAGACCTGAAGGGTGACTAGGGGCTGTGGTCTCAGGGTCTCACCAGGCTCTATCAGACCAGCAAACTTAGTCTCTCTCTCTTTTTTTTTTTTTTTCAAATCATACTGAGTTTTGTATCACATTGTTCTCCCACTCTATCCAGGATTTCCTACATAGATCCCTCTCTGAGTGGTTGATAGTGGTGGCTGGGCACCAGCTAGTTTTTCTGATCTCATGGTTATATAGGCTGAGGATTGCATGGTCTTCCAGTCGCTTGTATTGATTGTTTCCATGCGTCTTTGGTTTTCTTCATTCTTCTTTGCTCTGGACGAGAGACCTATACTGGCATCTGGTTGGTTGCTTGTAAGCTTTTAAGACCCTAGTCACTACTCACCAAAGTAGGATATGGAACAATATTTTTATGTAGTATGTTAGCCATTTGAGCTTGATGTTCCCTGTGACCATGGTCCCGAGCCCACAGGTCCAACTACTCTCCCCAAGGGTAGCTGGCTGTGGCCAAGAAGCCACCACAACCTTGCCACTTGTCAGTTCTACACACCCAGACATTCTTACAGCACATACAGATATGCTTGTAGAACCATCGTCTGCCAACCCTATACCTGGTCATGGGCACGTTCCTCACTGCCTAGACATACCTGATCGTTCAGCCTGTCTACCCATCTATCCACCCATAGATCAAGGCTTGCCATCACTGACAACGCAGTACTGTGCATGCAAAAGGTTCATCTCTGTTTTCTGTACCTCCCGTGAACCTCTGTGTCTTCTCTTCAAGACACAACTTCTTGATCAGGACATCATGCCACTCTCTGTGTGGATTGCATTTCATACAGCTGGATTAGGGACCGATTAGGATATCCTCCTGAAACGCCAGAACTAACCCTTAACCTTGAGTGGTGTGAAAGGGTAATGTGCTCAGTTGCTAACTGAAAGTTTGGCGCTTTGAATCCACTTAGCAGTACCTCAGAAGAAAGGGCTAGTGACCTACTTGCAAAAAACTCAGCCATTGAAAACTCTGTGGAGCACAGTTCTACTCTGACATGCATGGGCTTGCCAGGTGTTGGGGTTGACTTGATGGCAACTGGTTAACCCCTAACCCAGCATGAAAGAGTGAGGTGGACCTGCTGTGTTGGAGAATGGGCCACCTACTCATGGTGTTCCTTTTAGCTTTAGGCAGCCCTGTCCTTGGCCTAAAAGACTGCACCAGAGGCTCAGCAGTATGGTGCCAGAACGTGAAGATGGCTGCCGACTGTGGGGCCGTGAAGCACTGCCTGCAAACGGTCTGGAACAAGCCGACAGTGGTAAGTCCTCAACTCGGCGCTCCCGTCATTTCTCAGGAGATCCCTTTGTGCTGCACCTGATGCCTTTACTGTATGAAACATGCTGCCATTCACAAGCACTTTTGCCTCATTTTGCTTGTTCCTGGTAGTGACCCTACAAGGGAGGCAGGACATGTGTGAGTGGGTGTCCCCATTTTACCACAGAGGAAATGGAGGCTCCGAGAGATTAAGGTCCATTTTCCCAATGCCACTCAGTCTCTCAGTGGCAGAGATAATGAGATCCTACCATGCTCGCCACTGTGTGCACTGTGTGATGCCTTCACGGCCTCTGCAGAGCTGACTGGATGAGGGATGCAGAAATTTACAGAGCGCATTCCCAGTGCTGGCACATGGTACCAATCCATCCCTTGTATATGCTAAGTGTAAAAATGGTGTGGGGGTGTTGTCTGACCTCCTGTAACTTCACAGTGGGGAAGAGGATCAAATCCTATGAGGTGGAGGTCAGACATGCCTCCACCCTCCAACGTTTTTACCAATTCTGGCACCAGCTGTCCCTTCCACCACACTTTTTACTTCTCTGCTGGGTTCAGTAATTCATTGCAGTAACCACAGAATTCACAGACAGTACTCAACGATTATGGGGTTTATTAGGGAAGTATCGGTAGCATAGTGCTTAAGGCACTTGGCTGCTAACCAGAAGGCTGGCGGTTCAAACCCACCAGCCACTCCTCAGAAGGAAAGTTAGGCAGTCTACTTCCGTAGTGATACTGCCCAAGGAGGGGTCACTATGAGTCAGGTCCTACTCTACAGCACATAACAACAACAACAACAGGGAAATATCAGGTTACAAATTCAGGGTCAGAAATGACTCATGATATAGTTCGTTGATCAGGACAGCCTCTTTTCAGCAGTGTCCTGCTCAGGCAAGTGTTCATGAAGTCCTTTCCACTCTGCTGATAAGTGCCCATGGGCACCCCACTCCACGGGTAAGCCTTGGCCTAAAGCACTCACCTCTAGCTCTGTGGGTGGGTAAACCTAGGTCCATGAGGTTCCCGGAGGCACCCCACTCCCTCAGCAAGGTTCTTGCCTGGGGGCACTCAGCTTTCTCGTACCTTCTTCTGCCAGTCTCCTGGTTCTGCTGTTCTGTGCCGCTGCTTCTCACCATCTCTTGCTGTGCCAGTAGGACGTTACAGCTCGCTCACTCTCTGTATCCTGGATCAAGGAAGTTCTCAGCTCAGGGAGCCCAGGTCCACAGCATGTGCTCCACTGCCATCTTTTCTTGGTGGTGGTTAGGTCCCCCTTTTGGCCTCTGGGATTGCTCAGTTTAAGTGCGGCAGGAAGTCAAAACCATGTTAGGGTTCTGTAAACCATATGTCCACGGTCCTACCCTGACAAGGATACCATGCACCTTATTTACATTATTAGCAAGCTATCCAATCCCCCTGGTGGGCCATAAATACCACATTTGCGTAGTCCCACCCAGTCATTTGGCAGGAGTTACAAAGATTGGTTGGAAGGGTCACATTAAGTAATTTACTGCACTAAGTATATGCTAAACTTTCAAATTTTTTCCAGACCTTTTTGTCTTTCCATCCCTTCCTCCCCCCCATTTCTTCCCTTCCTCCAGGCAAGTCGCTGATTCTGACCCTAGAGCTTTCAAACCAAACCCATTGCCTTCCATTTGGCAATGGTCTTCTCATAAAGACCCTCCTGGACAGAGTAGAACTGCCCCATAGCATTTCCAAGGGTATAAATCTTTATAGAAGCAGACTGCCACGTTTTTCTTCTGTGGAGCCACTGGTGGGTTTAAACCACCTACCTCTTGGTTAACAGCCAAATGCTTCAACCGCTGTGTCACCAGAACTCCTTACAGCTCCAGAGCTTAGTAGCTGTTTTACAGCTATAACCAAACTAGGAAAGATACCACTGATGATTTTCATTATCCACAGGCTATTAAATGGAGCATATTAATTTCATGTGGATGGGGCAGTGGTAGTTCAGTGCTGGAATTCTCTTTTTCCATGCTGGAGACCCTGGTTTGATTCCTGGTTGGTGCACTTCAACCACAGCCATGACCCTTTGTCAGTGGAGGCATGTTGGTTGCTGTGATGCTGAACATGTTTCCCCAGAGCTTCTAGACTAAGAAGAAAGGACTGGCAATCTCCTTCCAGAAATAAGCCAGTGGAAACCCTATGGATCACAGCAGTCCAGTCCACAGTCGATCAGAGGGACGCACAGGACTGGGCAGTGTTTCTTTCTGAGCGATTAAGGTCCATTCACCGAAGGTTGAGGGATGACTTGATGGGATCTGATAGCAGTGATTTAATGTGGGGTCTTTATTACCCTGTGGGATATACACTATTGTTAGTACGTACCAGAAATGCCTCATAGGGTTTTCTGGGTTGTAATCTTTATGGGAACTGATTGCCAAGTCTTTACCAAAGATGACAGAACCCCTAGGGTGCATTCTTCATGCATCCTGAACCCTTCTGGGAGACACCTGAGCTTAGCCCACAGTGCCAGCCATAGGCAAATACTGCTCTTGGTTCACACTGGGGCATGTTTAACCTGCTGACCATCATGTGGTACAGGCTTTATTTGACTAAGTGGAGTTTGAGTTTCAAAAGTTGTCAGAGGCCACTAGTACTCCTTCAGTAAATAAAGAGTACATGGGAAGACCACTTACTTCATTAACACTGATTTAAAAAAAAAAAACACCCTGAATTATTCACTGGAAAACTGCTGTCTATGGCCAAATTTACTTTCCGATTTGGTTTCTAATTTGCTTTTGATTGTGTTTTTAAAACTGCTTCCTCTTTCCAGGTTTAATGTGAACTTTAGATCTTACTGTTTGATAGGATGAGTCTTTCTTGGTATGATTTGCCTACCTGGGTCCAAAGGTTCAAATTGTTTTTTCTGAATGCCACCACCAAATTTTTAGGTGTTCTTAATGTTATCTAGAGACCTTAGTTCCTTGTCCATGGGTTGAAGGTCAGTTGACATTGAGAACATGGTGGGTGCATTCTTGCCCAAGAGCTGGGAGAACCAACCAGAATGTCCATAGTTTTGGGCTCCTGTTGGGTCCTGATGTACATACAGGCTTATCAGAAGACTGATGGTGTGTTTGTCTGTCAAGCTTTGGAGTGGGGGTACCTTGCCTTAATTTGAACAGAGAACTGCCTGAGGGATAGTTGTGAGGGGCAGAAGATAGAGCAGAGGTAAACATGCAGGTAAACATGCTGCCATGAGTGGGCATACACCCCGGGTCTGGCTGGGCGTTTTCCTTTGTTCCATCCACTGTTTACTGTTGGTGATACTGAGCCACTTACCTTTCTGAACTCCAATTTCTTCAAAGGGTTGTTGTTAGGATCAGATAGGAAATTTGATCTGTACTATACTAAGTAAAGGACTGAGAGGTACAAGAAGAGAAGGCTGTCTGTCCTACAGAAGCACAGAGTATTCTGGTAAAACTCACGGAATCCTTCCCCCTAGGTGCCCAGAGTGTCTCATCTAGGCTAGGGAACCGGGGTCAGTATGTGGGCCCTTGGAAAATGTGGCCATGATCACATATCCCTGATTATCTAAAATGTGAAAAAGACCAAGCTGGTTAATTTGATCTGTTTGGGGCATGAATTATGCCCTCCAAATAAAAATACGTCTCTCTGATGTTCTTTCCTCTTAGAAATCCCTTCCCTGTGACATATGCAAAGACGTCATCAATGCAGTTGGCAACATGTTGAAAGACAATGTCACTGAGGTGAGCTGCAGTGTGTAAGCCTGTGTGAGCGATGGCTACATACGTTGTTTCATTAAAAGGCTGTGACGCGGGTGCTAAAGAGGCATGGACAGGTCCAGGGGTTGACACACTTCTTCTGTAAGGGCTGGTAGTAAATGTTCTAGGCTTTATGGGCCACATACTATCTCTGATGAACATTCCTTTTTTTTTTCTTTTTTTAATGTAAACATCATTCTTTGTTCCAAACTGTACATAAACAGGCTGAAAGCCATAGTTTGCTGACTCCTAGACTGCTGTTAAATACTCGAGGTTAATTGGGATTTTCTGTTGCATACCAATAACTTTTAGGCCCATTTTTGCTCTCTCTGCTCTCAGTTCCCTGTGCCTTATTTTGAATTTGCATGTTTGCTTTTTGTCCAGTTGGTGGCGTAGAGCTGAGGCCAACCGTTAACCCTCTACCCCAGGTTGGCAGTTTTCCATCCTTTGGTTTCTGAGAGTTGCAGCGAGCCTCTTGCTCTCAGTCCATTTGTAAGAAAGCAGCCAATCCCAGTACTTACCCTCCCTTTGTGTCCTCTCTCAGGAAGAGATCCTTGAAAATTTGGAGAAGACCTGTGACTGGCTTCCTTCTCCAAACTTGTCTACCTCCTGCAAGCAGATAGTCCAGTCCTACTTACCGGTCATCTTGGACATGATCAAAGGAGAAACGGTACAAGATGGGAGAGTAGACTCTTTCCTTAAGGCGCTTCTTGGGGCCAGGGGCGGTTTCACATCAGGCTAGAGAGAGAGGATCCAAAGTCTGTTGATAGATTCTGATTCGTCAACAGCTCCTCACAACGGGTCTGACATCTGAGAAGACCCTGGCACAGCACAACACTCTGCTTGGGACTTTGGTGAAAGTCTGACTCTTCCAGGGCAGGAGGGTAGAAATGGGTTTTTACCCAAAATATGCTTTTCCAGGGCTGGTGAGGGTCCAGGAAGTGGGAACTTACAGAGTTGCTGGGGAAATGTAAACTTACAGATGCCAACTTGATAACTCATGTCAGATCCTTAACTGTCCTTTGAGCAGTTAACTTCATTCCTGTAATTTTATGCTAAATAATTCAGAGAATGTACTTGTGTACAAGAATGCTCATTTTTCATTCAACGTGTGTCTGTTGGTTACAAACCACATGCCTAAAGTTGGATATTTAGCAATGAACAAGCAGCCAACTTTGTAAAATCAGGGAAGGCTCCAAGAAGGAAGAGGTGTTGGAAAAACAGACAGCCAGTGGGGTGGGATTATCGCATGGTGGGACCAAGGTTTTGGCAAGGTAGTCTGGGGCCACATCATGTAGGGCCTTCTAGACCATGCTTAAGGATTCTGGGTGCAGCAGAAAGCCCTTGGAGGTTCTTAAAGAGGGAAATGATGTGACTGTTTTCTGGGTCCCCCTGATTTGGGCATTGTTCAAAGGCAAGCTGGTGGAACAGTTAGGAGGTTATTGTAGGTAAGTAAGATGTGATTGGGACAGTGGAGATGGATAGGTACAAATTCTGTTTTGGAGGAAAAGTACACTGGATTTACTGATGGAAGGATATAGCTGGGATAGGGAAGAGTTAAGCAAGTGGCAGTGGAACCATTGCCTGACATGCAGCTGCAGGAGGAGGTTGGGGCAGAGTGGAATCAAGATTTTCGTTTTGGCAGTGGTGGTCAGTTTGAGGTGTCAGGTGGGCATGTGGATGTGAGTCGTGGCACCAGTTCAGCAGTTGCTGTTCAGTTGATTCCAGCTCATGGTGACCCCGTGTGTATCATACTAGAGCTGTGCCCCAATAAGGTTTTCAGTGGGCTGATAATTTGGGAGTAGGTCACCAGGTCTTTCTTCTAAGGTGCCTTTGGTTGGACTCAAACCTCCAAACCTTTTGGTTGGCAGCCAACGGTTTTAACTGTTTATACTACCCAGGGACTCCTGAATCAGAGTAAGAGATAGTGTCAGCATATGGAAGGTATTTAAAACCAGTGGATGGAGAAAGACATAGAGAGGTACATGGGAAGTACAGACAACAAATATGAACCCTTTTGCATATACAGTACTGAGTTGTCAGTGAACGCAAACAGGGGTATATGGACGGATAGATAGGTAGACAGGCTAAACAATTAGGTATGTCTAAATGGGGAGTGTATCCAAGATCATATATAGGGTTGGCAGACAATGGTCCTATAAGTTTATGTGAATGATCAGAATTCCCAGGTGTATAGTAGAGCTGACAAGGGGCAAGGTTATGGTCATTGCTTGGTCACAGCCAGCTACCCAGAGGGACCAAGTAGTTGATCCTGCGGGCTTGGGACCATAGTCTCAGGGGACATCAAGCTCAATTGGCATAACATACTCTACAAAACATTGTTCCACCTCCTACTTTGGCGAGTAGTGACTGGGATTTTAAAAGCTAGCAAGCTGCCATCTAGATGCAACAATGGGTGTCTCCTCGTCAAGAAGAAAGAAGAAAAACAAATGAATGGAAACAATTAGTCCTAGCGACTGGTACACCATCTGATCTGCAACCTATACAACTATGAGACCAGAAGAACTAGATGGTGCCCGGCTACCGCTGTCATCCACTTGGAAGGGATGTATGAGATCCTGCATAGAGAGGGAGAACAATGTGGAACAAAACTCAAAATCATTTGGAGGCAAAAAAAAAAAAAAAAAAGAAGGTGGGGACCAGGTTTGCTGGTCCAATAGAGCCTGGTGAAACCACTGAGACTATGGCCCCTAGCTGCCCTTCAGGTCTGGGATTGAACCCACACCTGTGGTTTCCAGCCAAACAAAGAACAGGCAAGTGAGTTAAACATTTACCTCAAGTAGACACACACCCTGGAGAGAACAATCATGGGAGAAGGAAGGGCTGCTTATGCACAGGGAGACAGCTCAGGGCGCAGAAGAGTATGGAGGGATGGACACTGGGAAGAGGTAACCATGGGGAGGTGGGAGGGGAGCTGTTGCATTGTAAATTTTGGTCAATGACATGAGACAAAGTATATGTGAACTGCTGTATGAAAAGTGAATTTACTCTGTAAATCTTCACCCAAATCAAAGTAAAATTAAAAACAAAAAACCAGTGGATGCATTAGCTCATTGGGGTGTAGGGTGGGGTGACATGTAGGCTGAGAAAGGAAAGTAACTCAGAATTGCTGATACCCTCTTGCCCCAACCAGGCACGTTGAAGGTAGAGCCTGTGTGAACAGAGATAGTATTTTCATTCCTCCTCAAGCATACTGACCAGTTTGAACTTGAACAAAAACGTTTTATATTTTCTTCTTGTATCTAAGAAAAGGGACTAATTTGAAGCCAGGTAGCCTGTTTGGTGGTCCTGTGGCAAAGGGCTTTCAGCTGGACCCCTCTCCCCACAGAGTCGGCCTGAGGAGGTGTGCTCTGCTCTCATGTTCTGCCAGTCTCTCCAGAAGCACCTGGCTGAGTTGAATCACCAGAAACAGCTTGAGTCCAATAAGATCCCGGAACTGGATGTGTCCGAGGTGGTGGCTCCCTTCATGGCCAATATCCCCCTCCTCCTCTACCCTCAGGAGGGGCCCCACAACAAGCCTCAGCCGAAGGTAAGGCAGCAGGCCAGGCCACCAAGGGCCCTGCTTTTGGTGGGATTAGAGACACGAGATAAGGGGCAGTGAGGCCTGGCTCCAGTGTGCACGGTTCTTCAGCTGGTGGCCCAGCCCTGCGCTTGACTCTGTGGTTACATAGGCTAGGCTTCAGCGTTGTATTGTGGAAGGTCTAGAGAATGGGATCCCCACAATGACAATGGTTTTCTCCCCCCTTTCCTGTTATGTCTTACTAAAGTAAACGCTTAGTTGTTTTTAATCCCTTCAGTAATTGTAAAACCTGTAAAAACACATCTCTAAGAGCTGGTTTTGTAACTTACTCCCTGGTATTGTGATTGTGGGCATGTAAGGACATTTTCTTGGGAGTTTGAATCCTTTTAGTTGCTATAGGAGTTTGCAATATTTACGTCCTAACTGCCCGTCTCTTTAGGCTAACGGGGACGTCTGTCAGGACTGCATTCAGATGGTGACTGACGTCCAGAATGCTGTAAGGACCAACACTACCTTTGTTGAGGCCTTGGTGGAGCATGTCAAGGAGGAGTGTGACCGCCTGGGGCCTGGCATGGCTGACATGGTAAACCCTCTGGCCTCTTCAAGCATTGAGAGTATTCTGGACCAAGGAGACCATAGTGGGTGGACCTAGAAAACGAATCTGTCACTTTTTTTTTTTTTTAATTGTGATAAAAAAGAAAGTTTACAGAACACATTTGTTTCCCATGCAGCAGTTTATACACATTTGTTTTATGACATTGATTGCCAGTCCCCATAATGTAACAGCTCTTTTCCCACTTCTCCCTGTGGTTACCTTTCCCTGCCTCCTCCTTTGCTGTGCATTTCTGCCCTCTGAGCTGTCTCCCTGTGCAAATGCTGCCCTTCTGATCTCTCATTAACCCATCACTTCTTGAAGTACCATTTTAAGTTCTGACCTAACTAAAGTTAAGATCATTCATACAACTCCCTTGTCCTTTTTCCAGAAAGCATCCAGAATACGTGGTGGGCACTGAAAATACTTTGTTGGGAAATTGAATCTGGTTAGATAACAAAATCTGGGGGGACAATTAGAAAATGACTCTTGTGAAGATTTTTTTTTCCTTCCCGGTCACCATATGCATAAGAAATTCTAGAATGGCTTGTAACTCTGTTTTTAAGACTAGCCATTGTATGTGACCTGTATTCATAATTTCATGTTAGAAGGTGGTATGTCCCTGCAGCAAGCCAGGATTCTTATGCATGGGAAACTGGCAGGCTGGTTTGCAGGAGGTTCACCTGGGAGGCCTTCATTACCTTGCCAAGTGTTAGTCCTACAGACTCAGAAGCTTTGTTAACAGCTTAGGTGGTTTCATTTGTAGGAGACTATTCCATTAACCACATTTGTGAGATTGATGTGTAAAACCTAAATGCCCAGTTTAGTGCTTGACCACCCCCCCCCCAACCCTCTGCTAGACTGGAATGTGGGGAAGGTGGGTGTAATAGCTCCCTGGGCCTGGCACCCAGAGCAAGCTCAGTGTTTCCTCCTTTACTGGAGGGAATGGCTGGCTCTAGAGCTAAGGGTTCCCTTCCATTGGCATGTGCTCTTTAGAGATGTTAATACTTGAGAAGCTGAGAACCACTACAGTATCTTTTAGCTTTATTAAAGTATCTTTATTTGCATATTGCTGTTTTAAGTGCTTTCCCTGATTTAACCCTCTGTGAGGCTTACTACCTTTGGCTCCCTCCCTGTACAGACCTCCAAGGATAACAAGAGCTAATCTGTGTGGGGCTAAAGAGACTTTCATCTTTATAAAAATAGGCAGTTTTTAAAATGATTTTAACTTGGTTCTCTCAGGTTTAAACCTTAATCCAGACCAAGATTGTGTGAAAGATTTGAGCAGTAATTTCTAGCACTCTTATCGGGTAGCCACATGCCCTGTAAATGTTGACTCAGTAGTTTCTGGGACAAATGTGGCCATAAAATAGGAATATTGGAGGACATAATCTGTAAGATCCCTTTAAATGATCTTGAAAATGTTTCAAAACACTTATTGCACAGGTTTTCCTAGAATAAGTTACAGAATAACTGAATTGTCATTAAATCTTGTCCAGAGCAGACATTACCTAGTCCCGCTCTCAGAAACTTGCTTTATTGTCACGAGTCACTGGTAGAAATGCTGTGTGTGTGTGTGTGTGTGTGTTTGTGTGTGTTTTGCTTCAGTGATTAGTTGAACTAACAACCTTTTTTCTCTCTGCAGTGCAAGAACTATGTCAACCAGTATTCTGAAATTGCTATCCAGATGATGATGCATATGGTAGGTGGCGGGGGAAACCATTTGTCAGCCTTATTTTTTGTCTCAAACTTTATATTTTTGAGGAATTTTGAAAATGATGTGGATTAGTTTCCCTTTTTACCACAGGGTTAATGAGTTGGGCCAAAAGGAGCCCTCTCCGACCTGCAGACTCTCTCCCTTGCAATCTTGGTACCTAGCCTTTGCCAGGGGAGAGGCTAGAGCAGCCGGACCCCTCAGGTCTGCTGTGGTGGCTTCCTGGGGGTCTGTTTGCCTGTGCACATGTGAGCTGGCCGTCACATTTCCAGGATCTGGCTTTAGCCCTGGGACACATAGAAATTGTCTGCTGTGTAGCAAGCCTGAGTTTTGGAAGAAGATCCTGCCCCTAGAGCTGGCCCTGTGCACTGCAGTAGTGTTAGTGGTAGTCGCTGCTTACACCCACAACCCCAGCCTTACTTCTGATGCATCCAGGAGGTGGGGATGTTCCTTTGTTATCACAGTCAGAAAATATCGGTCCTCTTTCTTGCTTATGGGCTAGCTAGCCCCATGCAGAAAACTGTGTACAGAGCAGGCATTCTGAAGCCAGCCATGCATCAAAAAAAAAAAAATACACTGGCCTCTTTAGGCCAAGGCTGACAAATGTGGTTTCTCTCAGCAAAAGCTTACGTGACCAGAAGTCCTTAAGTTCTCAAGAGTTCAAGTGGCCGTCTGGACCTGAGGGAGTAGGAGGTTACACCTTCAATCCTTCAGTTTTTTCTCTAACCCAGGGGTCAGAACTAGCCTAACTACATGTTTTTGTAAATAAAGTTTTATTAGAACATAGCCATGCCCATTCGTTCAGCACAGTTGAGCAGTTGCTACAGAGACCTTATTTTAGGCCCACAAAGCCTAAAATATTTGCAGAAAAGGTGTAGTGACCCCTGGCCTAATCACAAGGAACTATGGTGGCACAGTGGTTAAAGTATTCAGAAGATTGGCCGTTTGAACTACCAGCCGTTTTTCAGGAGAAAGATGAGGTAGTCTTCTGTGAAGATTTACAGACTGCCTTTGGGCAGTTCTGCTCTGCCCTGTTGGGTTGCTGGGAGTCAGAATTGACTCAGTGGCAGTGGATTTGAGTTTGTTTGCTCTAACTACTGAAGTAATCCATCTAGGCACAATGGAGTTTATTTTGGATTATTACTCACAGTTTTTAGAACAAAGTATGTTCAAAAAGTTTAAAGACAGCTTAAAAAACATAAATATATATATACATATATATATATACATACATACACATACACATATATGCCTTATCTAGGTAAAAAGAAGCCTTTGATGTGGCTTAATTTAGTTAAGTGCTTCCTTATAGTTAACTTCTCATTATAAAGGTTATACTGTATAGAGATTTTAGGATAATAATTCCCAAAGCAAAAATCATTTAAACTAAAAAAAGCCAAACTCACTGTCATCAAGTCAATTCTGACTCATAGCAACCCCCATTGGCAGTAAATCTTTATGGAAGTAGATTACCCAGTCTTCGTTCTGAGGAGTGGCTGGTGGGTTTCAACCACCAACCTTCTGATTAGCAATCGAATGCCTTAGGCACTACACCACCAGAGCTCTATCAATGGGTCATATTTCAGATACCATTTTGTAGTTTGCAGCTTGCTTCCCCCTCCTTTGCCTAAAAATATATTGCTAATTATTCTAAATAATCTCTGACAAACTTTTTTTGAGTGGCTGCATAATATTCCACGCTGTGGATGGGACATAATTTATGTAGCTAATCCCCTATCATTTGCTGCTTCAGTAGTTTGCCTTTGGGATAGAAGACATGGGCATTGTTCCAGCCAAGGGTATATGCATATCCCTGTTTTTGTCTTTAGTGTAGGTAACTGGGACTGAATGGCTTCAAAGGGAAGCCAGATTTTAAAGCGTTTGATTATATTGTCACATCCTCCTTCCTGGCTGACATTTGGTGCCTTGGGGTAGGTTGCCTTGAGGCCTGGGACAGTGGAGACCCCGTGTGTCTTTTATGTAACTGTGACACTCACTCCTTGTTTGGGCAGCCCTGTGTCTCCTGTTTTGCTGCCTGTTATTATGCTGTGGGAAAGGTCTTGCAGGTGTGGTAGAGTCAGGCCTCTGAGGATGGAGACCCCTTCTTAAGAGTGGTGTTTCCGGGGTGGGGGGCCTGCTTTCTGGTGTACCGAGCATGACTTGGTGGCCTTGGTCTGTCAGGAACATGGGGATGGTGCATACCACCTGGGCCCAGAGTAGTTTTCAGGACTCCTTTGTCCATACAACAGTTGGACCAGGTAGGTTGCTTACACCTCACTGTCAGGGGGTTTTCCCTAAACTGCTTTGTGACCTCCTTATACGTGGTTAACTGAGTGTTGTTATTTTAATTTTTCTTAACTGTTGTGTCCTTTCCTTTCTCTTATTTTCCCCTCCGATTTCCTGTTTTTTTGTTCTCAACAGCAGGATCAGGTATGTGACCGGGGGATTTGCTTGTCGTAGTGGTCTGCTGCTTTTCTTAGTTATTTTGTTCATCTTGTTTTCGTCTGGTGGCATGATTAGCTCTGACAGATACAAGGACTGATGAGGAAAGGCAGGGTCCCTCCCTCTGTGCTTATAAGCTGCAGGGAGTGTCTACATCTCTTCCCTGTGATCTGGAACTCTAGATGTTGGGGTTTCACCTCCTCTTCAGGGGGCAGATAACTAAGCTAGCAGAGCCTTGTGCTCTTGTCAAAGTTCATGGTCAATGCACCACATGCCTGTGTGGTGAGGGGAACTGTGGGTGGCCCCAGAGGGAGCCTAAGCTTTCTCGAGTAGAGGCCTGACTTCAGTGGGACACCTTGTGTCTGTCACAACAAGTGAGCCTTGCATGCCTTTAGTCCTGTACCTAGAAATGCTTCTGCTGCATGAGCAAGTAATTTGCAAACAACGGGGAGTCTGGTCCCCTGTCTGTCAGATCCAGAGAGTTGGAAACAATCTCTTGATTGTGGCTTCTGACCCGCTGGGGTGATGGGGTGATCTGTGGGATTGGGAGCCATACCAGACCACTTGATAACCAGGCAATCAGCTCATAACAGAAAAGAAGCCTGTGGACACTGCCTGCTCCTCCCCCTGATGAACGCTTAACGGAGCCACAGGGTCAGCTCTCCCATTTGGGGGCCACACTGAGCATTGTCCCCTTCTGAGCACCATCAGTTTATAGACTTTCCCAAGATCTCTTAAGCTCTAAAGGGAGAAGACTTGGGGTAGAATAACTGCATTTTTACCTGGGCCTCCTCTCCTGAAGGGTCTCCCTGCAGTAGAACAAAGCTGATTCTGAAACTAAGCAGCTATACCCGTTTCTGAATCTTAGTGTCTTTTTTCCTAAAACACTTGCTGTATCTTCCACCCCAGTTTGGTTGTTTTTCCTCTCTCATTCTTTGGGCATATCAAAGACAGGGTAACTTCTTAGACTCCCCAATTCTATTTCGTTTTAGAGCCTTCTGGGTGTTAACAAGAGGAACCATGGCCATGGTCTAGCTCTTACCCCTCTACAGGTCTCACTTTTAGTGACGCTGTTCCATTGCTTTATGGTTTGGTGGCGGGAGGCAAATGCCTTCAGACCCAGAGCTATGCACCAGTCGCTTTTGATTTACAAAGTATACAGTGTGTGTATACTTTTCTCTCTTGGCCATCATCACAGTATAATGGTCCCCATGCTACCCAAACTATCTAGTTCTCTGATTTGGTGTCTGGATGGTGAAAGGGGATTAGTCTGGGGACCTTGTGAATTACAGTGACTCATTGAGTTGGAAGAATTGGGGTTTAAGTGTACTGTGTGTGTGTGATTGTGAACATTGAATGTGGTTTTTAAAAGTCATCATTTTTTCCTTAATGTATCAGTGAACTAGTCCTGCCTCTGGAATTGGCTGTTAGTTTATGGGGATAGTATTTCACCCCCTTGAAAGGTCATATACCTTACTTCCTATACTATAGAGAGGGAGCCAGGTCAACTGATACCAGGTTCTGGAGCAGATCAGCTGTTCTTGAAGATTCCAGTTGCCTGTTACAGGTGCTGAGGAGTTTTGCCTCCTTAGGATGCCACTGGCTGGGGACAGACACTGGTTCTTTCTGAGCTCCCTCCTCCAGGAGTAGCATGTGTACTGCCCCCTTAAATTTAAGATGGACTCTGCCCAGCTGGTGGGGAGTAGGTCCCTAGCCCCCCACCTTTGTAGAGAGTGTGGTGAGAGGAGGTGAGGCAGGGGCCTGTACCTGATGGATTTCACGTGTTCTTCTCAGCAACCCAGGGAGATCTGTGCCTTGGTTGGGTTCTGTGACGAGGTGAAGGAGATGCCCATGAAGACTCTGATTCCTGCCAAGGTGGCCACGGAGAATGTCATCCCTGCCGTGGAACTGGTGGAGCCCGCTAAGGTACGAGGTGTCACTGCCGTGTCCTGCATGGCTGATGCAGTCCTTATTCTGACCGCAGAGGTGTCTGCTGTCCTACCGCCCCCAGTGTGTCACATCCCATAGTCCGTTTTTGGTCGCCTCCCTGGTTCCTGAATGTATTTGAGTTTAAACCTCTGTCATATGGCCACCACCATACCAGTGCAGCCCCCCAGAGTTCTTTGAAAACTTTTTATTCCCTTGGTTATAAACCTGGCTGCTCATGGGATCACTCTGTAGCATGCCATTCAAGGTGCTCTTTTAATGTGCAGCTCCAGCCTAACCTTTCAGGTATACTTTCTAGGTCCTTCCCCATACTGCAGCCATTGTAAACATTTGACATTCCAGGACACCCCCCTGAGCTTGGGCCTCTGTAGGATTGCTGTCTGTAGGTATATGTATATAGGTATATGTGTATATGTATATATATGTATATATTGTTTTCCTTCACTTGTAAAAATCCTTCTTTCCATACTTAATTTGTGTTCAGCACATCTTGTGGGCCAGGTACTGTTTCAGGGGTTGAAGCCACAGTGACAAACAAAGTGATGACCCTGTGCTCATGGGACTTGCATTGTGGTTCCTCAGGGCCCAGGCTGACATCTTCTCACATGACACACATAACTCGTTCCAGAACCCCATTTCACCTGACAGCTACATGTCTCATCTCCCTCTGCTCTGTTTTCTGTCTGCTTGTGCAGTGTGTTACCCATGGGAAGGGCTAAGGTGTCTGATGGAGTCAGTCAGTACTGCCACCTGCTCCCTCCTAAGTCAAGATGCTCACAGGCCCAGATCCTTCATATTGACATAGTCGATGGCCAGGTGCAGAATTACACTTGAAGCTGCACTGCCCAGAGCAGTAGCCGTTAGCTGCATGTGGCCACTTAAATTAATTAAAATGACATGAGATTAAAAATTAATTTCTTTAGTTATAGTAGCCACATTTCATGTGCTCAGTAGACACATGTGGCTGGCAACGCCATATTGGACAGTGCGGGTGGGGAATACTGCCATCACCACAGGAACTGCTGCGGAGCGGAGCTAGAAGAGCAGAGTAGGGGCTAATGAGACTTGAGAAACCCAGGAGCAGACCTCAGAGGTGTGTTTGAAACTCTTTTAAATAGTTTTAGAATCCTTCACTCTGTTCACCCACCCTGTACCCCAGAATGTATATGAATGATTATAACTGAACAGAGTAATCATGTGGACAGTTCTGGGGGAACTGTTTCTGTCTCAAAGTAAGAAGTTCTGTTTTTAAGGTGGGGGGTGGCGGTGGTAGAGGATTGGGTCACGGATAGGTGCCCCACTATGTAAAACACATTAGGGAGTGGCATTTGGACGTTGGAAGGAAGCCACAAGTCATTTGAATTCACTGGGGCTCTGTGTGACTATAACTGGCTAACCTTCAAGGGAGTAGGACCTAGGAGTGAGGTCTCCACACTAAAGTCTTCCTGTACCCTCCACAGAAGGAACTGGTCCCGGCAAAGGCTGGCGTGTCCTGCGAGGTGTGTGAGTACTTGGTGAAGGAAGTGGTCAAGCTCATTGACAACAACAGGACCGAGGTATGTGGACTGGCCTGCCCTCCCTCTCACGGGCATGCCCCTCTCCTGTCCTTGAGCCAAAATGTCCTAGTGGAAGAATCTAACAGAACAGGTGGGTTTGGCTCTTGCTGGTGTTAGACATCTGCCTGGAAATATCTACAACCATTTTCCCAGCTTTTATTTATTTAAAAAGTATTTCATTGTGTTTTTGGTGAAAGTTTACACAGCAGTTAGGTTCCCATTTGACAGTTTCCACACAGATTGTTAGGTGACGTTAGGTGTGTTTATCACACTGTCAGCATTCTCTTTAACTGGGTTCAGTTTGTCCCCTTTCTAGGACTCTAGTTTCCTTGACCCTTTATCTTCTTGTCTTTGCTTTTGAGTCATTGTTGACCTTCTGGTCTCACACCGATGGTGATTAAGTAGGGCACAAATCTCACAGGTAGTACCCTTATTCTGTGTGCCTCTCTGCTGTGTCACCGAGAGGCATCACTGGATAGGCTCAGTTCTCGGCTTTAAGTGTCTCGTGGCAGTCGTCTCAGAGAGTCCCCTGTTCTCTACTCCTCCTGTTTGTTGTTTTTAAATAAGATAAGTTTGTTCTGTGTTTTTCTGCCGTTCTGTCTGGGACCAACTATTGTGACCCCAGTCGAAACAGTCTGTGGTGGTAGTTGGGCACCATCTAGTTCTTTTGATCTTGGGGTAGATGAGGTTGTGACCCATGTCGAGTTGTTTGCTCTTTATGCTTTTGGTTACCTTCTTATTGTTTTGCTCCTGGTGAGTGGAGACCTGTAGCTGTGTCTTAGGTGGCTGCTCGAAAGGTTTTGAGACCCTAGACCGACTCACTTGACTAGGGTGCAGGTCATGATTTTGTGAACTGTGTTATTGCCAGTTGACTGAGTTGTTCCATAAGACTATGGTCCTAAGCCTTCAAACCCAGAAAACCACTATTGGAAGGTGTTTGGTTATATCTGAGGAGTATCTGTATTTGTGTCTTCAATAAATATGTGTGTCTGCACTCTCGTATTTGTATTTATATATACCTAAAGAGGAGTTCTGGTGGCATAGTGGTTCAGGCATTTGTCTGTTAACCAGAAGGTCATTGGTTCAAACCTATCAGCTGCTCCATTGGAGAAAGATGAGACAGTGTGCTTCCGTAAAGATTGATAGACTTCAAAACCCTATGGGCAATTCAACTCTGTCTATAGGGTTGCTGTGAGTCAGAATCTCCTCAATGGCCATGGGTTTGGTTTTTTTCATAGATACTTGTATCTGTTCTCACCTATCTACACATTTGTCCTTACTGTATACCAATTTGGCTCTACCATCCATATGTGCTCAAATCCTCATTTTTACTTTGGTTGTGCTATATGCTTAGTACATCCATTTGATTCCACTTTTCCCATCACCCAAAATAACTACTCTTTATTATACAAAAAATATGCCCTCCTTTTCCAAAACCACTAGTGGACATGTGTATCTGTTCTATTCTTGTCTATTTATTATTTTCTTATAAATTAACTATTCTGCTTATGAAAGAGGGATCATGTAATAATATTTGTCTTACATACTTTTTCCACTTAGCATTATGCCCTCGAGGTCCATACATGTTACAATATATTTTGTGGAGTTGTTCTTCATGGTTGCATAGTACTCCATTGTATGTATGTACCACAATTTGCTTATCCATTCATCCATTGATGGACGCTTCGGTTATTTCTATTTATTTAGTGTTGTGAATAAAGTGGTGGTGAATATAGATGTGCGTATGTCTGTTCGTGTCATTATTTTTAGGCCTCTAGGGTATATACCCAAGAGTGAGATTGCTAGATCATAGGGTAGTTCTATTTCTAGTTTTTTTGAGAACGTGCCATATTGTTCTCCATAGTGGCTGTACCACTTTACAGTCCCACCAACAAAGGATAAGGATTCCAATCTCTTCACGTTCTCACCAACGTTTATTGTCATATGTTTTTTCATCAGTGCCATTTTAGCTGGGGGTGAAATAGTATTTCATTGTAGTTTTGATTTGCATCTGACAGATGGAGCTCTGGTAGCATAGTGCCTAAGACACTTGACTGCTAACCAGAAGACTGGTGGTTCAAACCCACCAGCCACTCCTTGGAAGAAAGGTTGGGCAATCTACTTCCATAGAGTGATACCACCTCAAACCCAAGAAGGGGTTGCTATGAGTCAGGTCTAAGTCCACAACACGTAACAACAATGACTAGTGATCATGAACATCTTTTCATAGGTTTATTGGCTGCTTGGATGTCCTCTTTGGTGAAGTATCTGTTCATGTCTTTTGCCCATTTTGTGATTGGGTTGTTTGTTTTTTATTGTTGAATTGTTGCAGTTTTCTATAGATTTTAGAAATTGGACCCTTACCAGTTTTGATATGTTGTGTTCTCATTTGATTCTGGAATTATTTCACTTTGAATTTCTTCTATGACCCAATAGTTTTTAGTAGTATATTATTTAATTTCTATGTATTTATTTATTTTTCCTTGTTGTTGATTTCTAGTTTCAAACCGTTACTGTCGAAGAATACGCTTTGTATGATTTCAGTGTTTTTAAATTTGTTGAAACGTATTTTGTGTCCAGCATATGATCTATTCTGGAGAATTATTTCTGTGTGCTGGAGAAGAATGTGTATTGTGGTGATGCTGGGTGGAGTGTTCTGTATATGATTATTGGGTCTAGTTGGCTTATGGTTTTATTTAAGTTCTTAATGTTCTGTAGTGATCATCTTTTTTTAAATTTATTTTTATGGTGATTTGGGTCAAAGTTTACAGAGCAAATTCATTTTCCATTCAGTAGTTCATACACAGTTTGTTTACTGACATTACTGCACTCCCCACAGTATAATAGCTCTCTTCTCACTTCTTCCCTGTGGTTACCTTTTCCCAGTGTCCATCTTTCCTATGCATTCTTGCCTTCTGATCTTGCCTATCATCCTGCACAAGTGCTGTCCTTCTGATCTTCTGTGGTTGATTGTTCTAAGGAGTGTACCTAGCTGGTGTAATTGTACTTATTTCTTATAAACTTGATGTTGAATTGTTTGTGGGATTTAATTACTAAGTTTATTCCCTGATAATACCATGTAATTGGTCCCTATGGTTGCTCATGTTGTTTGTGTGGAGAGCTTTTCCTCTTATTCCACCCCTTCCTCCTAAGTACGTAAAAACAAATCATTAATCCTCTGGCCTCACCGTGGAGTAATACTTGTGGAGCTGGTCTAGTGGTAGCAGATTCCCAGAGCTGCTGTTTGTTTGGGAACATTTTGATTCCCTCTTTGTTTTTGAATGACAGCTTTTGCTGGGTGGGGAATTCTTGGTTGATAATTGTTTCCTTTTAGTATTTTATGTACATCACTCCATTGTCTTCTGGCTTCTGTCTTCTGGGGGAGAAATCTGCATTGATTCTTAAGAAAGCCCGTTGGTGTGTTATATTTTGTTTTTCTCTTAACTTTCACAGTTCCCTGTTGTTGGTTTTTAAGAATTTTATCAAGATACGGTGTGAAGTTGATCTTTTTTGTGTCTCTTCTAATTGGGGTTTGTGTAGCTTCCTGTATTTGCAAGCTTGGTTCTCTGTTATGACCTGGAAAATTCTCTGATTATCTTTTGGGAAATCATTTCTATGCCTTTATTGCTATTCTGGTGCTGTGAGATTCCAGCTATTCTAATGTTACATTTCTTAATTGAATTCTGTATTTCCTTTTGGGTTTGTTTGGTTTTCTTTATTCCTTTGTCTTATTTCTCTTGAGACTTGTTAAGTTCAGTTATTTGTCTTTGAGTTCATTCTGTCTTCTGTTTTGACTCTCTTATTGTTTCTTTAGCTTTTTCTAGTTCAGTTGTTTTAGTCTTCAGTTTTGTAGTTGTCTTTGGCTTTTATTTTTGGTGTTTGTTTTCAGTTTCCACGTTGAATCTTTCCTGAGCTCTATGCTTATGTTTTCTGTGTGCTTTTTTGTTTTCTTTAAACATACTTAATACTGTAGTCTAATAACAGTCAGTTGTTTGTGTTATTTTGGGTGAGAAGTTTCCTCTTCTTCATGTATTATTTTTGACTAGTCCTTATTCTCTTACAGTTGTGTGTGTTTTACTATCTTCTGTTGAACTTGAGCCATATTGTTACCTTTTTTTAAAAACTTTAAATTTTATATTCTTATTTTTGTGAGAAATTTTTCTGATTGGGTGCCCTGGTGGCACAAGGTACTGTGGTCTTGCACCCACCAGCTGTTCCACAAGACAAAAATGTGGCAGTCCACCTTTACAAAGACTTACTGCCCTGGGAACACCACAGAGCAACTGGGCTCAGCTTCACAGGATCACGTGAATCAGAATCAATCCAGTGTCAGAAGGCTTGGCATCTTCTCTTGAGAACCACCAGAGGGCACTCTGATCCTTAGGATTTTTTTTCTTTTTTTCCCCCAGTGCTGATTCAGGAGTTCTGGATTCTTAATCTTTGGAATTCCGTACATGTGCTGGGGGCAGGGTTAGCTTTCCATAGATGCTAACAAGAGCAGTGGGGCTCAACTTTCTTGGGGCAGAGGTAGTCTATATCTTTCCCTCATGCACACCCTACGTAAGCTCTCCCACGGTGTCCGGCTGTGGGCCATTTCCCTGTGTCGTGTGCCCCATCAGTTGGAAGGATTCCCCTCACCCTGCTGCCCTTGGTGTTTCTCCCAGGCCTGGTGCCTGTGTGTGCCAGGCCTCAGTGAGATTCAACAGCACTCACTCACAGCGCCACGTCTCCTTTCACCTGGCCCCAGTCGTGTGGCCCACGAACTCCCATGGCCACTTGGTGTCACCTTAAAGAAAATCAGGCTCCAGCTTCCTCACATTAGCTCCTTGTTCGTGTTCCCTGCTTGAGGTGTTACCCAGCCCCTCCCCCACATGGCTTTGATGGAGGTGGGTAGGTTCTGCCAGCTTCTGTGCCGTCCCCGCTCCTCCTCTCTCCTGCTTCTGGGTCACCGTGACTCTCCAGCACCTCAGCTGCCACCCACAGTTCTGAGATCTCAGTCTCAGCTGCAGGGGAAATAAATGGAAGCCCCCCACTCACTCCACCTTCTTGCTCCACCTCCTCCTCCCCAGCTTTTGGAAGGTGCTTTCCACCAGCCAGCCCCTCTGGGCTAGGTTGGAGCAGGCCATTCTGCCCTGTTTTGTGGCTCTAGTCTTTTGAGGAGGAAGCAATACCTTGCTGTTGGCTGGCTTCTTAGTATTTTCAGACTCTCTCCCACCCCTGGTCCCCTTCCCAACTTCTCACATGATCCTGGCTTGACTTGCAGGTAGAAATAATGAACGCTTTGAAGAAAGTGTGTTCAAAACTGCCCACGTCCATGTCCGAAGAGTGCCAAGAGGTGGTGGACATGTACGGCAGTTCCATCCTGTCCATCCTCCTGCAGGAGGTCAGCCCTGAGCTGGTGTGTGGCATGCTCCACCTCTGCTCCTCCCAGGGGCTGCCAGCTCTGACGGGTGAGCCCAGCAGGCTGGGGGGATGGGGCGGCGGAGGTGTGGGGCCTTGGGAGGCTTTGCTGGCACTGAGCCTGCACACTCTTTGTAGCACATGTGACTCAGGTGAAGGATGGCGGCTTCTGTGAGGTGTGTAAGAAGCTGGTTAACTACTTGGATCACAACCTGGAGAAGAACAGCACCAAGCAGGAGATCCTGGCTGCTCTTGAGAAAGGCTGCAGCTTCCTGCCCGACCCTTACCAGAAGCAGGTATGTCCAGGGCTGCTTGACACCCAGATATCTGAGCAGGCTTGGGGCTTGCAGACTGGGAGAGCTAGAGCTCCCTGATGGAACTCCCCAGTGTAGATTTTGAGGGAAAACTAGCTATTTCTGCCTCTGGGCACAGAGTCCATTGAGGTAAGCTGTTGACTCAGGTCGAGCCACTGGGAGAAAATAACACAGCAGCTAGTGAGGCTGCAGGTAGGGGAGTGAGGTGGACAGCTGGGAGGGGCCACCTCAGGGCCCACTGGGCTTCAGGGATTCTGAAGTTAGAGCATATCCAGGTCCCTTCCCAGCCCATTATGCCCCGCTCACCTTGGGCATGCCTAGACATGAACCCTTGTCCCTATTTTAACAGTGTGATCAGTTTGTGACCCAGTATGAACCTGTGCTGATAGAGATCCTGGTGGAGGTGATGGACCCTTCCTTCGTGTGCCTGGTAAGCTTTGTGCCAGGTGGTGGGTGTGACCTGTGAGACGCTGCTTGGGTCCTGGATGGGTTCTTGATTGTTCTGGGATTTTCTGACCACGGGGCAGTCTTGGGGCGGGGTTTGAATGACCTGTGGGAGAGCACTAGGGCTCCAGGCCCATCACATTACTCACAGCCCTGGAAGACAGAGCCTTGGCTCTACCTGCTTCTGGAAGTTCTGAAAAGGATTGGTTGAACAGCTCAAATTCTTCTTTTGCCCTTTTCTCACCATATAGAAGGTGGGAGCCTGCCCTAAAGCCAATAAGCCTCTTTTGGGAACTGAGAAGTGTGTCTGGGGTCCTAGCTACTGGTGCCAGAACATGGAGACTGCAGGCCAGTGCAACGTAAGTAGCTCAGCGCTGCTCCACAGCTGCTTTTGTGTAGAGCAGCTCTGCATTTGGCTCCTGCCCCCTTGACCGCTGGCTTTAACAGGAGCCTTAGTGACGAGCCTTCTCTCCTGCCTCTGTATAGGTGAGAAAGCTGAGGCCCAGGGAGGGGAGTAGGCTTACTCATGGCTGTCCAGCTAAGGGTTAGCAAAGACGGGATTGGGGGAATCTGGGTTGGGGATACCTCCCCTTCCTGGCTTCAGGTCCTATGTGACATTGTCAGAATTGCCTGAGGTCACCCACAGGAATTGCTCAAAGCCTGGTGGACTCACTGGCTGGACCCTTGCACACATCTTTTTGTCTCTTGGGTATGTTTGCCCTGGCTGGAGCCCACTTAGATCTTCCCCTGCCAGCTAGCCAGAGCTCTTGAATGGCAACGCGGGCCTGGCTGTCATGGAACTGTCCTGCTGGGCGGCTGTCAGTTGGGTGGTCATGCTGCTTGTCTTGGTGGAGAGGTTTGCACAGGCCCCTGTTGCTTAAAGTTCCTTTGCGTAACTTTTTCTTCCTCACCGGAGTTCCTGTGACCAGTAGGGGCTGAGTATACTCCTGTTAGGGGAGGTTGCATCACCTGCGGTCTCAGGCCACTGCAGGGGAAGGGCTGGAGAGGCCACACCCTGGCCCCAGCCAGCTCCTTCCTGCAGCCAGGTCCTAGCTGTCTGTGTCTCACCCCACCCCCAACGTCGTCAGTGTTGGGGCTAGTTTTTGCTGCTTCTCCGGAGTGGGTAAACATGTCTGTCCTCCACTTTTCAAGGCCTAGCTGGTGTGTGCCTCTGACCATTGGGTGAGGAGGGGATGCCTTGGGGGCCTCTGTGCAGCCTACCTAGCAGGGTGTTGGGATTAGATGAAGGGATCCTGGGCCCCACCTGCATGGGTGTTCTTCTGCAAAACACGTAAGGGCTTTGTATCTGCCACTGTTGACTCTTGTCCTAAAAGCCCCCAAACCCTGGTTGACCAAATGTTCCCAGGTTTCAAATGAGACACTATCCTGGATCCTCAGGGTCTTGTGCCATTTGGCTGACCTAGGGCAAGATAATGGGTCCTGCTTCTGGGTAATGTCTTACTGATGGGCAAAAATAGCCTGTCACCTGAAGACTAAAGCCTGTTTCCTCTTTCCCCTCAGGCTGTCGAGCACTGCAAACGTCACGTGTGGAACTAGAAGGAATATTCCATCTGAGAAATGTTCGATGCTGAGAAACTACAGCATCTTTTCCTACTTGTGTAGCTGGGGAATGAACACACACATCTATTGATTTTGTTTGAAAAATAGGCTCCCCTCCCCTCACCCCGTTCTTAAGTTCCTTCTTGTAACATTGCTGTCAATGGGGGTGGCGCCTACTTGCCACTGACACACAGCTTCAGTGTCCCTTCTCTCTGTTAGACAATGACATAAATCGCGCTCTGGGGATCTTGTAGCCTGCCTTTGCATGGTGCCCGTGTGGAGAAGGAGGGTCACTTGGCGCTGGCTTGAGCCAGCGCTTCTTACAGAAAACCATCCACCCTTTTTGGACAAGGGCTTTGTTCTGAGCCTGGACAGGTGCTTGGACACGGGTGGGCTTGGGCTTTCTGAGGCCTCCACCCATACTAAGGAAGGACCCTCTTCCATTCCTGGGCCTGTTCGTGGCTATACAAAGAAGCAAAATAAAGGCAGTTAGCATGAAAGAACAGAAACTCCAAATAGTTAGGCTTTTTAAACTGTGGTTCCTGCTGTCCTAGCACAGATTCTGAGAGAAAGCTCCTGGTAGCTTGGGGGAAGTGGGTGGAGCCAGGGGTTTTCTGTCCTGGGCCAACACTGACTCAGCTTTCTTGTATCTTTTTCTTGTGATGCTTTGTTTGGGGCTCTGTGGATCTGGGTAGGAGGGAAAACGCTCCCTGAATGTAACTTGGTAGCTCGGTGTGGCAGTCCTGTGGCTTGGTGTGCACGCGCGTGCTTGTGTGTATGTGTGTGCGTGTGTGTTGCCTCATGCCTGCTTTGTGTCTGCCTGGCCTTCACAGGCCCCTACTGCTTTGCACAGCCACAGCCTCACCCACTCATAGATGTTCTTTTTGACCTTTCCTTTCAAATAAATGGGGATGAGGAGCTCCTAAGCCTCTGGCTTCCTGGTGGAGGGTGAGCGGTGCCATGCTGCCCGGGGCCTTGGCCGCTGCACGGCCTCTTCTGTTTGGCTGCTGCATCTGTTGTGCTTGGTTGCCAGGCAAAGCCAGGAAGACGAGCTGTTGCCTAGTAAATGGACGTAATGATTTTTGTTTGTTTTGCACTAAAGTTTCTGTGATTTAACAATAAAGTTCTGTCAACCAGACCTGGGCCTGAGTATTTCTGAGATGCCTCAGCCAAGAGTTTGGAATCTGACCAGCTCCAAGGCCCCTTTAGTGCCTGGCAGGTCTGCAGTTCCTTTTGGACAGAGAAAGTAAGTGAAGTGTTTAGAAGAAACTACACTTGGTCTTCCCAGAGAGACTGAACCCCAGGCCAGATCCCCCCTGTTCCCCCAGGCCAGCCACACAGGAGTTGACCAGAGCCACAGTGTATTATTGCTGGTTCCTTGTCAGTTGCTTTTCTTTTTAAAAACAGACCGTTCCAAAAACTTTCATTGAGTACCAGTTAAACAAAACAAAGGGGAAAATGTCAGGGGGAATAACTTAATTTAAAAAAAAAAAAATACACATGAACACTCCACATCCAGAAACCAAGGGGACATCAGTCATTTCTCTTCAGAAGCCGGGTGTGTTTGGAAGCCAAGGAAATGGAGAGAATGCACTGCTGTTTGTTGATGTGGACTTTCTTAGTCTGTGTGGGAGGCAGGGGTCCCTCTTTGCCTCCAGCGGGGCATGTGACATAGATGCAGTGGGACTTGAGCTGGAGTCCAGGTGTTAGAGCAGGAAGGGGGTGGCAGCACTCGGCCTCCCTCCCAAGGTGCTAGGCCCCTTCTTTCTGTAGGGGGTGGGACGGGACATACTTGTTGGGCATGGAGTGGGGAGTAGAAGAGAGTCTGCTTGGCCTTTTTTGACCCCACCTCAGCCAAGCTGGTCTTGAGACTCCTGGGCCCCAGTGACCCTCTTGACCTCATCCTTAGACACTTAGCATTTTGTTTTTTCTTAAAAAAATAATAAAATTTTATGAAGGTAGAGATCAGATGCTGAATGAGCGTCTGGTAAAAGTGGAATCCGAGCAGCTGGTGCGGCTGGGGCCAATCTGAGGTCGTCAGCCCGCCTCCTGTGCTGGCCTGGGGAGGGGCCCAGACACCGTCAGCCCTGCCCCCGGAGGGGCGGAGGGACAGGAGCTGCTCACACTAGGGACGCCTCCCCCACAAGTCATAGCTCAGTGATCTCCAGAGGGCTCTCCATGATCACGTCACGAAGCTTGTGCAGGGGCGTGGATTTGGCGGACTCGGTGCGGGCGTTGTGCTCAAAGGCACTGGCCTCAGCGGCCGTCAGCGTCTCCAGCGATCGGCCCAGGCCCTTCTGATCATCCTCCGGCAGGCTGTTGAGGTCGGTGGCCAGCAGTGTGCCCGTGCTGCCGTGCACCACGTGGATCCCGTCGGGGCCCTTGAACTCCACGGGCGGCTTGTGGCGGAAGCGCAAGCTCTCTTGGCCCGGGCTGCACTCCCCTGGCTCCTCTTCCAGTTCTGTCTGGATCAGCTGCAAAAGGCCGCGGCCCCCCATACCTCAGGGACCCCCACACTGCTCAGCTCCAGGCCAAGAGGTGAGCTGGTGTGTGGCCCCAGAGACCCTCCTGCTCTTTCCTTCCCCCACGCTAGTTCCTGCTGCAACAGACTGTCCATCCTCTGGCAGCGTCTCTTGAACCGGAAGCAAAAGAAACCACAAATACCAAATACTGATAATAGGTTTGGGGGATTATAGGCCGCCTTCGAGCAGCTAATTTTCTGTTCATTTTGATGAGCTATCAAAATCCCGTGATGCACTTATATCTGGGTTTGTCATCAACTTGGCCTGAGGTAGGTTCAACTGTCACTGGGGCAAGGTAGGAAGTGTGCACAGGTGAAGTTGGAGGGGTTAACAAGGTGTGGCGGGCTCAGTGAAGCTATGGCGCTTTTGTCCTAACTAAAGTGGGGACCAGTCAGCTCTAGCCGAGGCCAGTGGGGAATGTGGGCCTGGCAAGAAAGCTGGAGTTGATATTTCATCTGACAATGCATAAGTGTTGACATAATTATGGCCACTGCAGGCAAATACACACATGTAGGCCTATCGGACCCTGACAGCTAGTTTCCTAAAATGATACCACCTTTTCAGGGTATCCTGGGTCTCCTCAAGTCTGAGCAGAACTGCCCGCCATCGCTGTGAAAGCCTCCCACCAGAGCCCAGAAAGTAGCCCCCTGCCTGATTTCCCAGACCCCTGCCATTGCTGTGTAGTCCTGGCTGCGGAGTTAGAAAGACACGGAGAGGGCAGCAGGAGAGTAAGAGAAAGCACCCCCAGGGCTGGGGCACGGCACACAGCTCCCTGCCCGGCCCGCTACCTCAGAGATGGAGGACTGGCAGGAGGCGGCTTTTTGCACCATCCGTTGTGCAAAGAGCTTTTTGAGCCGCAGGTAATCCTCCAGGACCACCTTCAGCAGCGAGCCCTGAGGGAGGGAGAGGGTTAACCCCCCACTGAGGCCCTCCTCTGCCTACCCCACCCCACCCCCTCACTTGGATGGAGGGCATGGAAGGTGGCTTTGGGAGTCATTGAACTCAAGGGCACACAGGTGTCTGATTCTAGAGCAGAGCAGGTGAGAAGCCTTTGCCCTGGTGGAGAGGTGGGTCTTGCTGATCTAGCCGAGGCTTGAGGGGGACTAAAAGTTGTTTCCCAAGCACCTCCTTCTTTATCCTTGGGAGTGGAGTCTCAGCTCCAGGTGGGGTCTGGGTGCAGTAGCCTGCTTGGTGGAGCTCACCTTAATGGGCCCCTCCCGAATGATCTGGCCCAGCTTGGCAATGTTGTCATATTCCTGAATGGCCGCCCGCAGGTACCGGTCATCATCAGGCTTGACAGCTGCTGGCTCACGCCCAAAAGTTCCCTGGGGAGAGGGGACATTAGCTGGAGCAGAGGTAGACCTGTGAGTGGTCACACAAGCCAGAGGAAGACCCCCAAAGAACCCAGCTCCTTGGCCGGTGCCCCACCTCTGCACCACCCTCTGCCTGGCTCACATGGGTACGGGTAGGGCTGTTCCACAGGTCTGCGATCTCGCTCAGGTTCTCTGGCAGGTCATCCTCATGCTCAGCCTGGGCAGCCAGCTCCAGGTTCCGGCAGAAAGGATCCAGCCACACGGGATTGGCCCTGGGAGTTGGGGAGTTGGGTGGGATGGGGGTGTGGCAGGCTCAAGGGGACAGATGCCTTTTCAGCCTCACTTCTAACCCCTGCCCTTTCTCCTGGCCAAATGCAGCGCCTTTCACAGAACTGGGGTGCTGGGGTACAGGGCTGTGAAAAGCAGGCCTCTCTTCACTTTTGGGTGCATCTTTCACCCTAGGTTCCCACTAGAACCAGCAGAACATGTCAGTCAGCCCAGATCAGCTTTAGTGCAGAGGCCTCATCAACCTGCACCAGGTGACCACGTCCATGCCCTAGAACTTGGGGGTATATCAGGAGTAGGGAGCCCAGCTCAATTCAGAGGGTGGGGGGACAGCAGCGGCCAGCCCACCAGGGGGTGCCCATGCCCCAGGTTTAAACCAGCCTGAATTCCCTCAGCATTTGAGGGACTGCCGAGAATCCTCTATGCCTGCTGGGTCCTCTGCAGGCTCCCTAGAGTGGACAGGGCAGGGCTCAGGGACCTCACTCACCCGTCGAAGGAGTACTTGTTAGTGTTGGGCATGTCCATGATGTCTATGAAACCACGATTCCCTGCAGGGAGAAGGGTTGGGAGGAAGGGGCCCTGGGAGGGCTGGGGCATGCAGAAGAGGGGTACACCCAGGTTTGGGTCCAGGGAGTCTGGGCTAGCCTTATGAGGCCCTCCCACTTCCTCCTCTCCTCCCTCCATGGCAGCCCTTGCTCACCTGCCGAGCCAGCCACAATGGCTTTGAGCTTCCTTTTGTGTCTGGAGAGGAGTAGAGATGGGCTGGTGAGGGGGCTGGGCTGGCATCTCAGAGGCCCAATGGCCCTGCTGCTTCCTGGCTGGCCCAGGAGCAGGGTGCATCAGGCCCTATCTCTGGGCAGTGGATCAGGGCAGGGGC